TCGAAAAAAACAACGAAAAAACCTACGAGTAATTTAATATGCGATGCGACCATTTGCCTTTGCTTGTATTACCAAAACAGTCATTAGAAACAGTATTCTAGTAATGAGGATGCGGTATACTTGCTGGTCTTTGTCTTTATGATGTGTTACAGAACATTTGACATATGCACTCTGAACAAAGTGTGTATTGTCTTGGCCATATTAATGTCCTTTTTCAAGCGTCGTATCTGATTTGACAAATCCTCTGGTAAGTAATGGAACGAGTTGTATGTAATATCATTTTATAGCAAAGAAGTTTTTGGTGCCCCTTATTGCTATGGGTTCGAATCCCGACAATGATTTTTTTCATATGAGAAGGCTTTCAAGCTAGCTTACTGAACGTCGGTGGTTTTACTCAGGTGCCGTGCCTGCCTAAAATACGTAAAGCACGGAAAAGTACTTGATGTCTTCCTCCACCAGTCAAGCTGGAAAGTCGCAATATATGATCTATACTGTATTGGGGCGACGTAAAATCCAACTTACCAATCAATAAAATATAACAGGAATATAATTTAAGATTATTTTCTAACTTCATATATTTCTATGTTCAAAAATAGGTATTGATCATTATACAAATTTGCCGGTGGGAACTTGAATGTTTCATGTACATTTGTTGTGTCGTTGGTTGCATTGCCTTGGAATGGATTTCTGGTCTTTCGGGGACACTGATTAATTTTATTTTAGCTTCGCAAAGCGTCATCAATTTTCTGTATTCTGTGTTTTTAGTATTTGTACACAGTAAGCCTTTCATGTAATAGTGACCCTTAATCATTTAACACTTTCACGTGGACTTCCGGCTAAACCAATGATACCTGCATAAGTTGTTGCTTTAGGTTATTATAATAAGTTTTTTTTTGTGTATGTGTATTGTGTAAATTGTGTATGTAGTCGTAGTTTTAAGAGCTATATATCGCCAATGGATTCCATCAGCACGCACATATGATGTCCAAATGAATGTTTGGCCGCCGATTCCTTTGTTTACTAGGGTTTAATTGCATGACTGGCATTGTTTTGCGGAAACATTTTCTTCATACACATTGCATGTTTTGGACATAGCAGGACTAACGCTCAACCCCCCCCCCCCAAAAAAAAAAAACAAAAAGAAAAACAAACAAAAAAAACCAAACAAAAATACAAAACGAAACAAACATAACTACAAAGACTGCACAAAAACCCAATGAAATTCAACGACGGAGTATTATCATCTCCGAGTCGATGTCTTCAACAAAGCATTGACTTTTATAAAAATGTTGGGAAAAACATGAAGCCATACCCTGTGATTGACTCACTTCCACTTAAACATATGTTGTAAAAGTGCACATCTGGATCAGCGGAAATTCACACATATTTTTTGTACCGACGCCTCATATTTTGCGAAATATATGACGTTCTAAATGACCCCCGTAAGTTTAGCTGGAAAGCCTTATAGTCGATGTGACTTTAACAACAGAACAAACAAACCCACATGCATCGTTACTTAGTGGGTGAGTCAATAACTAGCAAAATAATATGATTCATTGTAAAATGTATTTTGTATTTTTATTTGCATTGCAATCAATTGGTACTCTACCTTTTACTATATATATATATATATATATATATATATATATATATATATATATATATATATATCAAACAAATGCCATAAAAATACTTTTAAATTCCATAAGTAAATTGTCGAACAAATGGTTTGCTATTCATAAAATCGCACACGTTATCATATACAAAATACACTTTAACGTAAAAGACACAAAAAAGTAATGATAATGTATACTTAGAGGTAAACGTTTTGGGCCGTCCCTGGCCTAGCGGTTAAGGTCGTTATTTTCAAACAGCTTGCTCCTCACCGTTTTAGCTTCAGGCCGGTGTTTTCGGATTTACTGATAAGTGGAAGCTATCCAGCTGGCTAATGAAACGACGTTGGTTTTACTCAGTTGCCTTTTAGTGTCTTAAAATTTACACAGGCACTTGAGGTATTTTTCCAATAGTAAAGCTGGAAAGTCGCCATTTGACCATAACTATGTTGGTTCGACGTCCCCCACCCCCCACACAAAATAAAATAAAACAGAAACAAAGTTAACGTTTTATTGATTAAAGTAACATTATTATCATTTTCATTGACAAGATTAGCTGAATTGGCTTCATATATAAACATTTACTGTTATAATGGTCATAAACCAATAATTAAGTGAAACATGTTATAAAAATACTGCCAAGCGGATCGTTAAAGAGAATTGGACTACAACTGACACATTTTGCATTAGAACTAGTATTTCAAATATTCAAATAAACTATAGTCATGTATTATGTTGATATGTTTTATAAAATGTTGCATGATCGAAACAAAGTTGATAAAATGGAAAGTGATTATTTTAGTAAGCACATTTCTATGATGGGATATAATATTTTGTTCTAGAATTAATGTCCTAATTGAATTCTGAAATTCCCGACCGACTACATTAATTCGCTTCGACCAAACTTAACTCTATTCAAATCAAATTATATATGTTCAGTTTTCATAATTAAATTGTCAATACATGATGGTACAAAACATCATTTTACATTATTTTGAAAAAAAGAAAGAGCATTTTATAAATTTTTACTTTAAATTGATATATCTTGTAAAAGGAATCACTAATAAGTAATGTTATAAATAAAAGAAATCACATATATAACAATTTATACAATTTTGTGTATTCCGCTTTTATTAATAAAACTTATCCAGATATTTATATAATAGTAAATGATCAACAGGATGATAAAACATAAAAAATATACAACACTATTATTACCAAAAGGTTAATAATTATATTGAAATAACATAAGATTCAATGAAAATATTCAAATTGTAGATTGAATTATGATATCTTTACACATTGCAAAGGATTAAAACAACCCTTATTTTGCAACTAAAGAACAATGTGTGAAAGATGTTACAAAAATAAGCACGTTTATTCAACGGTATCTTTATAGTTAAGATTTAGCGTGAACAAAAGTCATATTGTGTGGTCAAAGTCAAGAAATCCAATGTTTTTATTTGGTTCTGAATCAGATGCTCATTTATTGTTTTGTTGCAGATTTTTTTGCAGATCATTTAATGACAAGCGTTTTATAATAAAAATTAAAATAATAATAAAAAATAAATAATAATAAAATTATAATATTTTATTAATTAATAATAATTATAATAATAATAATAAAACAAAGTGTAGCTATTTGATTTAACGACTATTGAAGTGTATGAATAGCGTATGAAAGAGATATTATACAATTATTGACTAGTGAGCCATTGAATATGATGTGATATTCACCGGCAGATGACATATCGACCGAGGCGATAGCCGAGGTCAATATGACATTCTGCCAGTGAATATCACATCATATTCAATGGCTCACTAGTCAATAATTGTTTTATTTTATGAATAGGCTAAGAAATTTAAAAAAATCACAAAAGTGCAACCTTATAATTATACATGTACAAATTTTGCCTCGTTGAAGCGCGGGAAGAAAGACGCACGTGTTAGGCGTGCAACGACTACGCGAACGCTGCGCATACAAAAATAATTCCAGTTTATACTCATTATTGCGGTGTAACCCTTGAGTATAATAGTAAAGTATTGATATTTTAATCGAAAAATATGCCATAAAGAAAAAAAACGCAACAATTATTATTTAATTAACACGCGTAATTAACAGTCTACGGTGTATGATCATTGAATACGAGTCTCAATCTATTTCAAGACTGGGAAAATCCAATTCAGCCAGTGAACCCAGTAAATATGATTTTATAAAAAGTTCTGTTGACTACTGTTTGGACCAATGAGATTGCAGCTATATTTAGATCATATAATAAAACATTATATTCGTTAGTTTATTTGTCATGTAACAGTTATCTTCGCTTTCTGGTGTGTACCATAATAATTATACAATTTTCAATATATTTCGGAAAAAAAGAGTTAAATCTTAAATAGCTACACAATCATAATATTTCATAAAAAATCATGGTAGCCATTTGAACGAAAAAAAAATATTGTTAAAGTTATCTAAGGTTATGTAAATGTGCGTGATGTCATTAAATCTTACCCGATGTTATCAAATGCTATGGAAATTTACACATGTAATAAAATCAAATGTTTATTTAGATGTAAAATATACGTCATCATAATCCAATACACATTATTTATCTTCTGTAATCATCTGTCACTAAATGCTATGAAAGGTTATCATATGTTAAAAAAAACGTTATCATAAAACACCAAAATAAGCGTATGTTATAATGGTTATAATATATAAATAATAAAATATTTTCAAATTATAACATATTATTTCGTTGGTTATCGTCGGTTATCATACATTATCTTACAATTATTATATGCTGATAAGGTAAAGTTTTGTCCCTGGCTAATGTGAAATTCACCGAAACAGAATGTCATAATGAATTAAGCATAAAGCTTTTCACTAAATTAAGATATTCACCGGAATCATAAAAAACAACAACAAATAATGATTTTATTTATGACAGAAATAGAATTCCTTATTGTCAGCACTGTCCGTTTTCCTCTTACACACATAACTCATGTATATTAGCCTAAATATGCTAATCGCAAACTTCAAAGTAGTGATGTTTTTTCTCCAGCAATTGAACATTCAAATGCATCATTACCAGCACCTTCTCTAGATTTGTTTGATTTAGATGAACAGTTCTCATCTGAGAAAGTCAGACTTGCACAACAAACATGATGTTTGCTTTATGTAATTTATTTTATTAGTCGTCTAATACCCATTATCCTTAAGATGATTAGCTTCAAATAATATACGGTTGAATTTAATGTCATGCTTCCCTGTTTTATGACGTATTTTGTTAAAAAAATATCATCTAAATTCGAGATCAATGTTTCTTTCCATTAACTGTCGGACGCAACACATGTAAACTGTTAGTCATATAATGTTATTATATTGAATCTTGTGTTGTCATATTATTATTATCATTTTAAAGTAATCATAATTTTAGATATTATCTGGAACTACGAGTACCCCAGTAAATGACGAATCGTAGTCGTTAAAAGCTTCATCGATTCCATAACAACCACCGACATATACCTCATCATTTGTATTTAAATGAAACGTTCCGGACACACTCATAGAAAAACCACTCCCTCTGGCCCCTGCTATTCGTAAATTATTAAGATAAATTTTACAATATATGATACCTGAAGAAGCGCTAGCTTTTGAAATGTGAAAAGAGAACATGTATATTCCTGGATATTTACATTTGAAGTGTCCCGTAGATTTGTCATATCCGTTGCCATTGTTTTGCACATTGCTTGGAAATATTGCAGTGTACTTTCCAGTTATACCAGTTGCTGTAAAAAATACTCTCATTTCTGAAATACAAATGCGAATCTATCGTTATGCATTTAAAAGTTCTGATTAATATTTGAAAATAAACATCAAAACAGTTTTTGGGTTTCGAAACATAACATGTAAACACTAACATAAACGATGATGCTGATTTACTATGTAATATAACCTTAATGTTCTTGTTATACATGTGGAATTTAACATTGGTTAACATTTTGACATAAAATCACATGAAATAAAAGTAAGCCAATTATTCATGGTCGGTAGTGTGTTGACTGCATAAGCCTTTAGCAATGCAAGCCGCCCGGTAAACTCAAAAAGTATAGCGTTGGACTGTGAATCGTGTGACCTAGGTTCGATTCCCGGACGTTGCAGGCCATTTTTCTTGTGTTTGATCATGAAATTCTTTCTACGGTCACTCTCACTGTACCTCTGCTATGGTATGTACAGAAGTTATCAGTTCCTTACAAAAGTGTTTACTGCTTGACAACCTGCTTAGGAATGATGCAGTGGTTACACTGAGCTCTGGTACGTTCAATGTGGCTTACTGGCCTGATCCGAAGTGAAAACTACCAACATATTACCACCACCTTAAGCAATGCACATGATAAGTACTTAAGGTAATCCGTCATCGGTAGAGCTTTGATCATTATTGTTTCAGGTTGTCTTACAACCCGGATAAAATGTAATAAAATGTTATATGAACTGTCTTTCTTCAGCCAAATTAAGAATTCAAATATCGATGAACACATTTAATCCGAGAAGATAAAGCTTTTCCTTACATAGAGATTTTTTAGCCAATTGTAATTCATGACTAAATAATTGCCCTCAAAATTATTTATCATGTTACCTGGACATGTGTTCCTGTTACAGACTGCTATTTGTACTGGAGAACCTTCACAATGTTTTCCTCTGAGAGATGGCTTGGGTTGTGTGCATGTTCTAGATCTTATCATTACTCCCCTACCACAAGTGTCACTGCACGAGCCAAAACTACCCCAACTACTCCATCCTCCATCTACAACAGAACATTCTTCGTTAATTCAGTTTAATTTTTTGAAGTTTTATCTTATAAATGTATATATACACCTTTTAACGGAAAATTTGGATTCAGAAGAACTTTATGATATTTAATATATGTTTTTGTTAACACTATATAGCTGATTCCAATATATTAGTATTGCGTATGATTTCGAATTAAATGTGTCCAAATTAAACTAACATAAATTTCTCGTCAATTGATTGAAACGTTATATTGGGAAGTATAATCATATACTTATTATTTCGAGGAGGTGAATTTTCTGAATATAGTGCACACTGAGCTTTTGACTAGAAAACATTACATTTGACAGTAAAGGAAACTCATTAATCATACACAAAATATGTGTCAGGCTATATAGCCTTACACAATGAATGGATCAACAGGCTTTAACAAAGCAATTCAATAATTTGCATATATTTATACTGTTATGGTTGACTTTTGGGGATCTACTTGTTTGCCATATTTATGAAAGGTGTTCGTTTCCCGGAACACGTGTTAGAGATCATTCAACCAGGAAGACGTCTACTCCTAAAAATGGGCTTTTGTCCGTATAAAAACAGCTCAAACAATTAGATCAACAGTGGATGAAGATAAAACGACGGTCAAATGAAAATCGTCGCTGCACTTGTACAATATAATTAACCTTTAAAGCATCAGATACATGCAAATTTTCATTAACGTTCAAAAGATGTATTTCAAAGTTAAATGTGGTTAGGGAACAAAGAAAGTAATTTGCATATTGCAAACGGCACTAACAACCCAAGCAAATTACCAAAACGAGGTCAAATTATGAAACATATTGCCCTTACTTCGTTAGTCACGTAGTAGAAATCTGGTGATAAATACCCAAAACATCAGTCATTTATCGTATATTCAAACAAATAATCACTTGAATTTTGAATCATTTTGCTTGTCTTTGAATCGTATTACCTTTTTATCAAGTTTTAGTTTCTTTAAATAATTCCCGCAATCTGGAGGGATGCTGCTTAAATGCATACGCCTACATATATTAGTATCTTTACAGTCAGATGAATGAAATAAATGTTACCTGTCCTGTCCTTTAATATAATATCTTCCAGATTTGAAAGTATTTTCTTTGTTTTAGACAATGCATTTTCTAAATCATCGGAGCGTGAATTCGCATCAATTTTAATGTCATTTATTGTATTGCTAATGTTTATTTCTTTTTGATTCATCTCGGCTACAAATTCTTTGGTTTCAATAGCAACTTCTTTCTTGAACTCGTCAATAAGTTGTCCAGATGTTATTGTAAAGTTTACACAATACGCTTCAATATTCTTTACTTTTTCATTTATTTTAAGTTCGAAATTCAATCCTTTTATTTTTTCTCCGCGGAATGCCTTTCTTATAGTCCTTTGTAACTGTACCACCGCGTTTTCACTGTCATCGTTCATGTCAAGGAGATTATCTGTTTTGTTAGAAACTAAAGCGAGTTCAGATTCAATCTTGTCTATGCGTTGTTCGTGCATTCTATGTTTTATATCATCCGTCTTGTTTTGAATATAAGATTCAAACTGTGGTACTATTCTTGCCAATGTTGATTCGATTGTCTCTATTCTTTTAATATCATTTCTTGTTTTGTCATGACTGGTATCTAGGTCTTTTGACATGTCGGAAACTGAAATAAGGTAAATAAATGATGATATGATTGCGGCAAAAATCTCACTTGCGTTTTATATGTTTTTTTCATTCGCTTTGTTCAAATAAATTAATTAATAATGTCTTAAAAACATGCACACATTTTAGAAATCACTTTGGAAACAATTGATAAATAAAAATCTTTTTCACAAGTTATCAGTTCCAGTCGTTCCGATAGGCGTAAAACCTTTATATTAAGAGGTTTGCATATTATTCTATAACACACGTATTAACCTTTTCTTTTTTAAGATTCAGTTGTAATTAAGTCAATATTGTTTTTTCTAATAACACTAACATTAATAATAACAGCTATCATTAATATTACAATGTACCATCACCCCCATAATATAAGTGATAAAAAACACATTTTCGTACGTATTCAAAATACTGATTAAGAAAACCAAAAAAAGAAATGTTTTTAATATATTTACGATAATGATAATATTTTTCCCTACGTATTCAAAATGATAAGTATGAACATTTATATGATGAGTGATAGTGTTTTGTTTAATTATCTGCTATATTTATATAGTTAATATCGAATCATGTATCTCAAATAAACCAACAGCATCCAAATATAATTTTTGTTGGTTTGATCATATACTAAACACTATCAATATAATTATACATTGTGTTACAAAAATTCTTACATGATACCAGTCCAATTCGCGTTAATGATAACTACTAATCAGAAGTAACTATGATGATATCATATAACTTCTCTAATGTGTGTTACATATTGATAAAATATCTCAAAATAAATAAATAAATAAAATACATGAATAAATAAATAAACAAATAAATAAATACATACATAAATAAATTAATATATAATGACTTAAACATACCATAAAATAAATACTAACAAAACAAACTAAATTAAAAAAAAATGAAATGAAAAAAAAAAATGAATTAAAAAACAATAATAAAATAAAAGAAGCTATGACACAAAACTAATTAAAACATGTTCATTTTCCTGTCTTTTGAATATTACAATTTTGACTGAAAACAATTCAATACATTTTGTCAATCGTCTTGCTAGTTTCACTTTCATTAGTTCTAATATTAATTTACAAATTTAAACATGAATTAAAAATGCATTGACAACCAGTAAATAATTTTAAGGCATTCTAATTATTTCTTTGTTTGGCCTTATAAGATATTTGAAACACAAGAAAAAAGTTTTCTTTTGAAAAAATGAAGCAACTCAAAACACAGAAAACACAATAAACGCAATCTACCTGTTTCTGAATGTTGATGATTCATCGTCTTAGAATGTGTGCTTGAAGGCCCTTCCAACCTTCGCAGGCGTGACGCCATTTTAAAATTTTTCAAGCTTAATTTGAAGAATCTCTTTTTGCATTACTTTCCTGTATAGCAGATATAGTGTACAATCACATTCCATGTACCATTTACACTATTTAAAAAAAGAAGTAGTAAAATCAACTGTAAGAAATGCATGTTATACATCATGAAACGATGCTTATTGTAAACTCACAACGAAATTTTGCAGTGATCTACAAGGTAATGTTAAACATGATCATATGATTTCCTGGACGGAGAGGAAGACTTGCGCAGTTGTATTACATCATAATTGTTCCAGATTATTATACTGCGTCATTATCCTTGACATATTTTTTTTTTTCAGATAAAACAACATAAATCTGAACAAGCATTCAGAAACATATGTTTTTAAAACTACTTGATGTAAGGCATGCGGCATTTTATTACGTTAATGTGTTTTAACACTTTTCAATGATGTAAGAGAAATTTAGAAGTTGAGTGAAAAAATTACAACATGTATACACAACTGTTCTCAACGTTTATCTTCAACAAAGTAAACAATGGTGGAAAAGAAATATACGTTTGACCTTTTATTGATTAATTTACAATACCATCTCGTAATGTTCCTTTCAATACTTGATAATAAAACATAAAACAATAAAGTAATGAATATTCATAAGTTATAATCGTACGGTATTTATTTTTTTATAGTTTATACATTAACTTATAATATTCTATATTTTGCACATGATGATAAGACACATAAATCGTAAGAGCTTAGAGTACGGTATGTACGTTTTACTTTTTATTATTCATTTACTTACAATACCAATTCTTAATATTCTTTATTTCACACAGTCATGATTATTAAACATAAACTCACACCCAAAAAAGCACAAATCATAAGCTATCATAGTACGGTATTTCTTGATTCACATTAAATCCTTTTGACTGATATGCTTAGGAACATTTTTGGTGAACTTATAAAATTATCCTTTTTTTCAATAATTAGTACATTTGTTGGTTTAATTTTGTTTCCTGTGTCTTATAAATCATTATAAACTAAGTACATATGGATTATGCACATCGGGCTTGTTTTGAACAAGAGTTTAATAATGGAATCTTCCATGCATTTTTAATAAATAAATTGTGTCATGAACAGACTCAAAACAAACCACCGTAAATTGAATTTAAATGTTT